CAGTACTTAAACTGTAAGTTACCTGCTCATTTACAACTGTATTGCTGTAGAATCAGGTGATTTTGTTCTTAGGACTTGTTTGTCAGGAGGGGAATATCTTAAATGGAGAATTGAGCTGTTGAAATCTTCAGGCATTTGAGTAATTATGTAAAGTTCCCAGGTAATCAGACTACTGAAACTGAGCTTTTAATAAAGGGAAATATGCACAGAACTGTAAGTAATGGAATAAAATTAAGGTATTGGTTTTTTTTAATGCTTGTACAGTGGATTTTGGAATAGTCTTCTGGGCCCAAACAAGTCATTTGCCAGAGATGCAAATACTTTCAAAAGGATATTTTGAGACTGTAAGGGAAAAAAAAAAATCTATTCAAGTCTCTATGGGTTGGCTTCCTGTCTTCAACAGAAGTTCTCACCACAGCTTGACAAACTGAAGCATATATGTAGGTCATTCTGGAAATAATGCCTCCTATTTATTTCAATAGAAAATACAACAGATACAAAGAGCACAATAGCACTACTTGGTAGAGCAAATTCTCAGCGGCAAAACAGCATTTTTCAACATAATCACTGCTGTCAGCCGGTTCACCTGGGTGAACTGCTGGGGCTGCTCTTTATTTTATGGTGTGACAGCTGTGCACAGCCATCCAGAACATGACTTGCCTTTCATGTTGCTGTTGCCACTGCTGAAAAACCCACTGCTTCCCTGTGCTGCTGAGTCTCCATGAACATTCAGCAAGTGTTGGTGTCACTGTGTGTCGTTTTTTTCTGTGTAGAGGAATTCAGCAGTATGCCTTTGTTCCATGCACACTTCTGTGTCAGATGATTTTCTGTCAGACTGCCCCTCTGCTGCCATCTGTCACAGCAACAACATCTAACAGTGTGCTGGTGGGAAGGTTCAGCCTCTACTGCTGTAGAATCAGCATCTGCTGATGTCATGGGCCAACATAATAAATGGGAAGCATTAGTTTTGGAGCATCCTCATAGATTTGCTGGCAAGCTTTCTGTAGAAGGTGTTGGATTTTTATTTTTTTTTTTTTCCTTTTAAAGGCTGAATCACTACTGTTGTACTTCTCTAATACCGAGCTTAACTCTTAAGACTTGCTTGCAAAACTGCAGGAACAAGTCTGTAGGGGTTTCCATCAAAATAGGCTCAAAACTCATTGTGCTTATGATTGTCATTGAATATATCCTGCTCTAGCTAAAGAACTTAAGAAAGTGAACTCTTTCTAATTTGGTGTTTAATATAAGCCAGAGTTGAAGTTCACTGGTGGAATGGGAAAAAAAGAATTGTGCTGATGCAGTCTGTTACATCTTTTGAGACAAAGGCTTTCTCTGCTGCATACTCAGTGGGGGTACGCACTGCATTTGTGAGATTGCTTATCTGTGGTATGTGTGAGCATAGCTGGCATCTTTGAGCCTGAAAGCACTGTCTGTCCCAGTCCAGCATACCAAAACCTATTATCCACAATTATTATTGTTACAGTTATTGCTACCAGTTGGGAAGTGTTGAAGCTTGAGCTTTTCATTGCTAGCATATCAATAAGAGTTGATATTCAAACGTAATGCATGTATGTTTAACAGATAGGAAAAAATAATAATAACAATATTTCATTGAAAATCATCTTGGAAAGAGTGCTTTCAACTTTGCTATGAAAAGTATTTGAAGCACTTGTACAAGCTGTTACAGGTTTTAGCAGCTCTGAGATGCTGCTGCATCTGTCTGCTTGGCTGCAATGCCATGGTTCGTTTCACGACAGTTAACTTTTGCTGTCATATTAAAAGCTCTGGCAACTACAGTTGAAGAGCCATGGGTTTGGAAGAGGGGTGGCTTTTCCTTGAGCAGGTGTTTCTGCTAGATTGTTGTTTTGGCATTGCAGCTGTCCATGGCATCGTAGTTACTGCATACTAATAGATGTTCAAAAATGGGTAGAAACTTGGCACAGTAGGTAGAATGTCTTAAATGAACATGAGAACCTGGCTACCATGTAGGTGTGACATAACCCTTCCTCTGTGGACTTCCCTTAGTGGTTGGGATGCCACGTGCATTGTGGTGATGTGGCTTAGCTAACAAGCTTCTTAGTTACAGATGAGCATGTTGGAGCTGTTGTGGACTGGTGGTTACCACATCATCATATGGTGATCAACTCTGCTGATAAACAGCATCACATCGACTGGTAACGGAGAAGGAAGACAGCCTCATATTAGAATGGTTGAGTACAGCATCTACTGATTAAGTAGTAGCACTACTTAATCAGTTCTTGTTTTATCTGTAGGAATCTTATTTTTGGGCAAATACTGAGATATGGCTTCCTGTGGGAGAAAAAGTTGAATCTTACAAATCAGCTTTGCAGTTAAATTTTCTTTTAAGACAGAATTCCCCAGAAGCTGGAGGAGGAACACCATTAAATAATGTCAGATTAGTGTGTTGTTTTTTTTTCTTTACCTCCTCTTGTTTCATGATGTTCTGTAACTGCATTCTAAAAGGTTACTTATTTTATTGGTCTTGTGTGTGACTTTCAGTAGGCACACCATGCAGATTGCTGCTGTCACTGCAGTTCTGAGGTGACTGAGTATACTTCAAGTCTTCATGCTAAATATAAAGATGTTCTGTGTTTATAACTTCATGCCTATAAAGGGGAGTACAGCCTGAAATGAAAAGACCAGTGCAAGTAAGAGAAATTGAATATGTGTCCTGCCTGGTATCTAGGTAGAAGAGGCTTCCTTCACCCAGGCAGGAGTGAGCTACCTGTGCAGTCCAGGAGTTAGACTTCACATAGCTTGTGCTGTGTGAATAAACAGCTGTTCAGAGGGATTTTCCTAGGTCCTTAGTCTTCAACTTCAGCTTAGAACGCTTTTTGCTAAGGTTCTTATTCACTCTCCAAGCAGTTATTGCCCTGCTAGCATCTATCATAATTAAGACTTGATTGATAGTCTTTTCTCTTCCATGTCTGCTTGTATGATTTAAGTCATTGAGTTAACTCACTTGAGACTTAAGTGAAGTTTAGATCTGGAAACTTGGTTGCTGCAAATGGACTGAGCAGAGCTGTACTTTCCAGTCAGCTTCCTTTAAAATGCAGAATTTGTTTCTTGATCGCTGCAAATACCTTGGTCAGGCCAATTAATGGAGTGTACAGAGTGAGGGCAGCTCCTCAGGGTGTTGGGAGGGTGGATGCAATCTGCACCTGTCTTAACTGCAGTCCTACAGAGACAGCCTAATAATAATAAGCCTTACTGTCAGTAGTTAAGAACCATCAGATGTCATTTGAAGTCTCTGTCTTGGCAGGGACAGTTGGTATTGTAGATCTGAATGCTGAAGTTCTGTAAGGGTGAGAGCAGAGCTGTAAGTAGTTGCAGAGAGCCAACGTGTGCCCTGTGTACCTGGCAGCCCTCTGCTTGTGCCATAGTGCTGTGGCAGCAGTGGCACCGAGCCCTCCAGGTATAGTTTGTGCCCTCCAGAAGGATGCCTCTGGCAGCTTGGCAGCCTGCTTGGCTCTGTACTGTGCTTCTGCTGTCCTGCTCGTGTCACATTACCTTTGCTGCCAAAGGATCATCTGTGTTGTCATTCTAACAGAAGCAAGAGCATTTCTTGATGTTTCCTTGCACTGTTATAAAGTGAGGTTATGGGCCAGCCCTGGCCATGCTGAAAATAGCAATTAGTAAAGATGACTCTTTCCCCCATTATGTTGAAATGGGTTTTCAAGCCGTGCTTAAAAAAAATGCAGTTGTTTTCATGCCTTCTGGGTGACTTAAAAAAAATAAATAAATAAAGAGTTCTTCCCTATGCCACATAGCCACAAATTGATGACAAGCAATTAAAATTTGCAAATACAAGCAGAACTGATAACCATTTAAATTGGTTGATACTTCTGAACTTATCCCTTTCAGTTTTTGCAGGCAAATGAAGCCCACTTAGTGTGGGTTGTTTGAATCTAACCAGAGCCTAAGTGTGGCTGAACCTTGTCTAACTTCTGTTTCTGGCAGCCTGGCTACTTCACTGCCCTGTCTGATGGCAGAGACCTACTGCAATAGGTCACTTCATTTTGACAGTTTTCTGGTTTCTGATTTCATTTTGAGTACTCAACAGCTCTTCTGCACTTATTCTGGTTTTTAAATAACTGGCTTTTCTTTCAAAGTCTGACTTCAAGCATTCACTATCAAGAAGTTTGACAGGCTTGTGCCTTAATTTGACTAAATGTGTTGGAGCTAGTGATTTTTTTTCTTTTTATCATAATAGAACTCCTGCTAAATTACATGACTGCTGCAGCTGGTAACTTGCTATGTTAATTTAATAAGCAGGTAGAACAATCTAGGGGAAAAAAAAAACAAAACAGGTCTTAACTGGTGACCTGGGAGGATTTGCTGGGGTGACTCCAGAGAGCTGCCTTTGCTTTGGAATGGATGGGCAGCTCCTGTTAGGGCAGCATGTAGTCACATAGCTGAACAGCTGTTGGTTCAACTGTCTAGAAAGGCAGGAATCCAGATTCACTGTGCAGTTTCTCTTCGGTGATTCTAGTGTAGAGTTCCACTTAATGCTAATTAAAAAAGAAACAAACCTCATTAGCCTGGCCTAGTTGCCATTGCCTGCGTATGGAAGATTATTTGGGTCTTGATTTGGCAGCTGATATTTTGAATCCTTTTATCATCTGTGGATGCAGACTTCATTCCATTGTGAACACTCTGCCCAGACTCTTTGGATTGTGTTATTTTTGTCAGGGCCTACAAAAACCCTTCCTTTGGCTCTTCAGCACTGGTCTGCTAAATGAACAGACTTCTTTCCTGTTCTCCCTATAGAGTCACAGCATGGAACATTCCTTTTGGTACCCACAGTTGTGATCCAGAACACGTTTTTCCTTATCTGAATACGCTATGTAGGATGTGACAAAAATAGGCAGAAGTAAAGCTGTCTTGACTTTGAAATAGATGGTAGCATAATCAAACTGTTGGTTCAAAAGCTATGAAAGTATGCATGTTCAAAACGCTGTTCTTTGCTTCCATTTTAGTCTCTGTTGGAAAAGTTCTTGATCCCTAATGCTTCGCAAGCAGAAAGCAAAGTTTTCTATTTGAAAATGAAAGGTGACTATTACCGTTACTTGGCCGAGGTTGCTGCTGGAGATGACAAGAAAGGTATTGTATGTCAGTTGTCACTATATTTTTGTTAAACTGTATTGCTTTTAGTGGACAGCAACGCTACTGTAACTTTTGGAATAATTCTTTTTCAGATGTAGATTTCTTTAGTAATAACCTTCCTGTTTTCTAAAAAGAAATCATAGGCTGCTGGCTTTCAGATGAGCTATGAAGGTTTGTGTACCTCTGCAGTCTGAAGCAGGAAGCAGATGTGCAGTCTGCAGTCACAAAATCTTGCAATCAGATCCAGTGTATGCATACAAGAATGTGCCTTATCGCTGAAATACCACTTTGTGCTTTTTTTTCTTCCTGGATATCTGAGTATTGTTGTTACCTTCTTGCACAGAGTCACTGTAGCTTTCTGAAGTGTTTTTTTTTTTTATGCTAGTTCTGTGTTTCTGCAGCACGCAAGGAAGTCTGTGTAGGTTCAGTGAGCAGAGAGACTAGAATACAGCTGGGGAAGAAAAGGATTAATAAAACAGATGTTAGTGTTAAGTAAACTTCTTCCATAGCCATGGTATTTTGATTTCTAAATGGTTTTTATTTCCTGAATTTGTTATGCAGTTTGTCCTAATAGCAGGTAAGTTGCCTTTACTCAAGTTTGGTGAGTAAAGTTAAAATACTGTTCTTAACTGCAGCAATTAAGCCACCTGGTGTATTGAAGAGGCACCTACATAACACCTTGTCTTTGTGCAGTCACCTTCACTTTGGGAGGATATCTTACATTTAGATAGCACTGTTCACAACAAACTCCAAGCCATTTCCTGGAGCCTGTCTCCACATTTATTATCCACGCTGGATAATAAAGTTACCAAGGCTAGTAAGATAAGACTTAGTAAACTAGGCTTTGATTTGACTTCAGGTGTTTTCTGCATGCAAGCTGACCTAGTCTGGTGACTGCAGAGTCCCATGTGTAACAAATATGTTGGTTACTGTGTATCGTAGCAGACCTATTTTTGTTCAGTAATCTGTCATGTACGAACTAGAAGGTATGTTCTCATGAGGGTAGTTACTGACTATAAAGTTAGACTGTGAAAACCTTTGTTTCATGTAATTTAAAACTTCATTTTTATTCAGCTCAGTATCCTAGCTCAGCAGTTACCAGTGGGTTCTGACTTGCAGATAAAGAAAAAATTTGGAAGCCCATCTGGCTCGTAGTTGCTATGGCTCCTCAAGTCTTTTATCTTGAAGGCTTTTTCTGCATGTTAGCTGTGATGCCTAACCTTAAAAAGGACCAACTGATAATGACTGTAGCAAATAATGGCCGTTTAGTTAAGCAGATTTTTTTTTTTTTTTACTGCATCCATATAAAGCTCTCAGGTATAGGAATTGGATTTTTGCCTTCATAAATCAGCTTACTGTGTTGACCACGGTTTTCTTATGGCAATCTGGTGGGCAGGAATGTCAAGCAGGTGGCCTCACCCTGCTGCTTCAGCCTTCAGTTTTGGAGCTGTATGATGCTGAGGAGCACGAAGTTGAATGTCCTGCAGATTTCTCACACTGGATGACTCACTTCAAAATAAACAGAATATACCTAGTTTTGCTATAAATTCCATGAATTGGTGTTTAAAAGGTAATTCTTGCCTTGTCAAGCAAGCAAAACCCACTTTTTGGGAGCTTTTCCTCAAACATAAACATCTAACATAAAATGCTGAAGTTAACTGAAGCTGCTTATTTTTCATGCCGCTTGTTTTGGCTTTCAGAAGCAGCACCATTTTCTAAGACTTTCCCAATATGGAAATAGTGAAACACCTCCCACCATTTCTAAATTTAACTTCCTGTAAAACCAGTTCTTCTCAACCGTAGTGTGCTGAGTGCTGAGTGCTGGACGTTTTCAGGGCAGTGCAGCAGATGTCTGACTTCTCTGAAGTGCTCACCTGGTAGCAGTGAATTAAGAGGGCCAGAGCCCTGCATGAATATGCAGGGAAGAGTGTCCTCCCTCTTCCACGTTGAGAACAGTTTGATACTTTAATGCCTATAAATCTTCAAAGCTGAAGCAATGGATATTGTGTATCAGAAGTACTCAGACTCTGAAAACAAATACTGGTATTTTTGAGTACCTAACCTAAAGATTTTTTTTCTTTGTTTCTGAATACGTGTGACTGCACTTAGAAATCACTCCGGATGTATTTCTGGTTTGATCCAGAAATCAGGATGTGAATCCTCTTTCATCTGAGTCAAATTACTTCCTGCCTACCTCTTTCTCAGATATATAACAGTCTTTGAGAGTGCAGAATAATGGTCCCTTTGTTCTGAGTGTCTATCTCCTGTGGTCATCAAGAGCATAGTCCAACTTCTGAGCTATGCTGGGCTGTATTTACTTCAGGTTTAGGTATGCCTCACACTACCTTTGCCAGACAGTTTGAACGAGGAGTCGCAGGTAACTGAAGGAAAGGCATAGGGGTCATTGGGGCTTTCTGTGACTCGAATGTGCATCTGTAATGCTTTGCAGTATTTGAAGACATTGAAATTGTGTCATATCAAACCTATGTATAGTTAAGCCTTCAGCATTGTATTTCTTTCCTGTAGACTGTTGAGTTTTATGTTCGTGAAACACTGTAAAAGTGTTGTAAGCATCTGAGCTGTTGCTGATACAGGCAGTCAGGGGTAGCAGAGATACTTAAATCTGTGACATAGCGATAACTTAACTAAACTTTTAGACTATTAGAAGAAGTGGAATACTTACAATGTAAATGCTCATTAACAAGTGTTCACTCTTAGGATAATTTATTCACACAACCATGAACCGATTTTATGTCAGAACACAGTATTTGAATTACTCACTTGCTGTGGGTTTTGTTTGTTTTATCCTAAAGGGATTGTGGAGCAATCACAACAGGCGTATCAAGAAGCTTTTGAAATCAGTAAAAAGGAGATGCAGCCAACACATCCTATCAGATTAGGTCTGGCTCTAAACTTCTCCGTGTTCTATTATGAGATTCTCAATTCCCCAGAGAAGGCCTGTTCCCTTGCAAAAACGGTAGGTCTGCGGGGGGTGCAGGGGGGGGTTCCACTGATTTTTATTTGCATAACCTTTTGTTGCGTGGCTAATGAGCTTTGGATGTCTCTTTCATCTCTAGGCTTTTGATGAAGCAATTGCTGAACTTGATACATTAAGTGAAGAGTCATACAAAGACAGCACGCTAATAATGCAGTTACTGAGAGACAACTTGACAGTGAGTATTGTTACGTTTTACAGACTGCTCATAGCAGAACTGGTCCTTACAGCGCTGAGTTGTCCTGTTCGCCCCAGCTGTGGAATTGTCTGTCACTTACAGATGAGTTCACATTGTGTTTCCCAGTGTGTATCTTTCTCCTGCCCAACCTCCTGTATCTGTAGGCTGACTGCCAGTTCTCTAACAAAACAATTCAACCAAGTGTTTCACTCTTTCTATTCAAGCAGTTTAGCATGTTGGAATGACGTGGTTTGGAAACAAAACAGTTACCTTTTTATTGTAACAGCATTAGTGAACACAGTTGCATTTGCTACTTTGAAAATTCAGTATGATTTCATGTAACTTGTTCAGCGTGCTTGCACTGTATGAAGACTTCATAGCAAATCCATTTAAGGGCCTATTGTTGTATATCTGGCTGGTTTTTAACTTTAGTGAAGCTGAAGTTGGAATTGTTGTAAGTCAGGCTGTTTGCAGGGCAGTCATAGGACAGTCTTATTCCTTTTTACTTGGACTCAGCTATCTGTGGTGTAAGATGGGGGCTGTCACTCTGTCATAGTAAATAAAATCATCATCTTGGTTTTTTAACCTACCTGGAACTGTAAAAACAGCAAAGATAAATGTCTAAACAAGACAGTTTAGATCAACAGCAAGCATGCAGTGCTGTAATTAATGACATAGTTCACTTCCCAGTCATCTTGTGGAGGAAAGGGAGAACTACAAGCAAGAGTAGAAAAAATAAGAGGCTCTTCTTTTGTTGCCAGATGTAACTCCTTGTTCCTATGTTAAGTGCATTGAGTGTTGGAGACTTTTGCAAATACCTGGACTTTTCTTATTGTAACCAAAGTGAAGTTGTTCAGTTACATAAAACTGGAGCTGCCATATTTTCTGTTTGTAAGGCTTTATTTGCCTGTTTCTTGGAACCTCTTCCACTCGAATGGCAACATAATATATTTCTGGAGAACTACTTGCAATAGTTCCAGCTGTTGATTACAAAACAAATGGCAGAGATTTCTCAGCCTCTGTAAGGGAGACAGAGACAGCATTGGCTTCACTCTGTGTGTACTGTCCCTTGGGTGAGATTGCTGTCCCTCAAATGAGAGATCAACTGAAATAGAGAATAGAAGCAACTTCAGTTGCCAGCTTCGTAGTGAAAATAACATGCAGCTGGCCATAGCAGTTTAAGAGAGCTTTGCCTTGTCCTGGAGCAAAAGTTGGACTGAGCTTCCACACCGTGTGTGTTACCTTAGCAGGACCTGATGGTTAATGTCAGGTTTCTATTATAAGGGAGATTTTTCTAGGTAGCTGCAAGATTCCATATCCCTGTCAGATGGGTACCTCCTGTGTGATCTGTGTGAGTACTGCTCTTACATTAATTCCTGTTTCTTCCACAACTTTTGATGTAACTTCTGACAAAGACTGCAGTGAATATCCTAAGTGTGGAAGGGTCTGGTCTGCTAGTTATGCAAGTCTCTTGTCTTTTAGACAGTGCAGTAGGCTCTTTTAGAGCGTGCAGTAGCAGCTTTCTCAGTTGGTAGTTCTTTCTAGACTGAGTTTCATCTGTCTGAAGAAATCTGTTGGGGACCGAAGGCAGAGAAGTGTTCAGAGGATTTTTTTAATATAGCAGATCAAAATTTGTTTTACTGGGATTGCTAGGTATTTCATCTTTGCTGAGTTACGAAATTGTCTTGTGTGTTTGTTTCTGGGGAATATCTTTGCCCATTCCTGTTCCCCTGAAGGCTTCTCTTCCCAGCTGGTTATTTAAACTCTGCTCTCTCAGTTGGGAATTCTTATACCAGACAGGCTCTTCTTAGTAAAGAAAGGTACGTACGTATCTCTAGATGTTGTAGAGGTAAAGTTTTAGAAATGAAGCATCTGATAAATTTCTGACTTAAACTCTTCTGCCTGCATTTCTTAGAAATGTGTGGAGTGGTGCTGAAATAAAGTAATGGATTTAAATGTAGTGTAGAGGTTAGAAACAGACAAGTGTGTTGCTGTCTCAAGTAGACTATCTTGTTGCTTAATATCTTTAGTAAGGAGTGTTTAGGGCAATGACTTTGTGTTTTTTGTAGTAAGAACAAGGCTATTGGGCTTGCACAAGATTCTCTATCGTCCTATAATTTTTTGAAAAGGGTGAAGTGTTTCTGGTGCTCATTTTCTTTTTTGTTTATAAGCATCATATGAGACCTGCAATAAGGTAGATCCCAAGCCATGCTAGAATGCGGGCAGACAAAGAATTAAGTTATTCTTGGGTTTTACTGCTTACTACCATAGAGCATGAAGGACTCAGTTAAGGCTGCTAAAGCTCCAGGGAGAGATTACAAACAGCATTAGGCTGGTAACAGTTTGTTCACATAATAATGATTTCTATGCTCCAGGTGTTGCCTTGGAACTGATATTTAGCTTCCTAAGTGATGCTTAACTTTGATATATGGCTCCTTAACATGTTTTATGGAGCTGAAAATAGGATTTGGTGTATACAACATATATATATATATATATATATATATATATATATATATATATATTTTTTTTTATATTTAGCCAGATATTTCTTTTCTCCTTTCTCTGCCCTCCAGGTTTGGAGGCACTACAGGCTTCTCTTTAAGCAACTGTCTATATGTGTAGCCAAGGGATAGTGATTTTAGTGAAATGTGCTGTGTAGTTTGTTTTTGTTTTGTTTTTTTTTTTTTAATTAAAAACAAAGCAGGCAAATCTTTTAAGATGTCTATTCTGAAGAAAAAGTAGCATTCACTCTTCTGTAGGGCACAATGAGAGGCCTTTGCAGAAACTTTCCCTTCAGAAAGATGCGTAAATCTCACTTGAAGTCTCAAGAAAACAAATACTGTTAGTTTCTTATTTGTATGCATCTGTTCTTTATCTGACTCTTGCCTGCGTGTGGTTATAACATACCTATCCATGTGAATATGAAACCTTGGTTTTGACTGGTCATGGACTTCCTCGTTAAAGGAGTGTAGAGTTAGGTCATCTAGGACTAGATCTGCATTTTCATGTAGAAGTAATGGCCATTCACCTTTCCTGCTGTCTGCAAAGAGCAATTTGTGCATGTGCTTTTTTCCCCATGGCACTTAGTATAACCTTGTACAGTATTATTAACAAGAAAGCTAGCTTACCAAATGATGATTGCTGGTTGAGAAATATGTTAGGTATTAATACTTACTCTTTTCTTTCCCAAACAGTTGTGGACATCGGATACCCAAGGAGATGAAGCTGAAGCAGGAGAAGGAGGGGAGAATTAACCAGCCTTCCAACTTCTGTCTGCCTCATTCTGAAACTTACACAGTAAACCATTTGTCATCCATGCTGTCCCACAAATAGTTTTTGTTTACGATTTGACAGGTTTATGTTACTTCTATTTGGATTTCTATATTTCCCATGTGGTTTTGTTTAATATTAGGGGAATAGAGCCAGTTAACATTGGGGGAACTTATCTGTCTTCATCTGAGGTGGCCAATATAGGGTTGTGAAATTTTTATACGAGTTTTACATGTTTGGCATAGTACTTTTGGTACATTGTGGCTTCCACAAGGCCAGTGTTAAAACAGCTTTCTGTGTCAAGCGAGGAAGACTGCTTGCATGTTGGTCTGCGTGGTGGAAAAAAGGGATAATCGGTTGCAGCCACAGGTGTAGTTAGCATGAATAATCAAGCTGGAGCACACATGGCTGTGAATACAATTATGTCCCATAGATATTGCATGTCAAGTAAACATGTGAAATCTGTGGAATATGCCAATCAAGTGTACATCTGATTGCAGCTGAAGTGTTCCTTAAGACAGTTTGATAATCCAGTCAACTTTCTCTAGAGAAGGACAGAGAAACGGTTCACATTCCATTATTTGTAAAGTTACCTGCTGTTGCTTTCATTATTTTTGCTACACATTTTATTTGTATTTAAATGGTTTAAGCAACCTAAGAACAAATGTACAAGTAAAGATGCAGTAAAAATGAATTGCTTGATATCCATAATGACACTGTATATCGAGCACAGCAGTAAAACAAAAAAACCCATGTATTTAACTTTTTTAGGTTTTTTGCTTTTGTGATTTTTTTTTTTTTTTGATACTTGCCTAACATGCATGTGCTGTAAAAATAGTTAACAGGGAAATAACTTGATGATGGCTAGCTTTGTTTAATGTCTTATGAAATTTTCATGAACAATCCAAGCATAACTGTTCAGAACATGTGTATTAAGTTGATGTAAGTGGAATAAAAGTTTTATGAATGGACTTTTCAACTACCTTTGTAGATTTCATGTGATCTCTTTCCACTCTTCTTAAAGTAGCAGCAGTGTTATATATGGATTAAATATGGAAGTAGTTCTGTTAAGGAGAATCTTAAGGCACACTTGAGCTTGAGTTAACTTCATGGGAATTGACACTGAATATTGCACATCAGATTTCTGATTGCTCTCATTTGCAGCTTTTTAGGTGGCTGTTGCTTTCTGGCTGGCTGGTAACCTGGAGAGCTCTTAAACATACGGTCTCTGTACTTTGGGCCAAATGCATATGCAGTTATTAAAGAGCTGACCTCTGGATCAGTTTTAGTCAGTAGAAAGCCCACAGCTTCCCTTTCTGAGCTCTTTGAAGTACAACTGAGCAGGAGCCTCCATAGCATTCAGGAGGTTCAGGCTTCCTAACTCAGCCAATAGAAAGGCTCCATGGAGTAATGGCGTTCTTCCTTTCCTTGTCCCTGCTGATGTCTGTGTGGATGGTATTCACAGAATAACTACAGTGTTTAAGGATATTTAGTTCAAAGCTGAAATAATAACAGGAAGGTAGACAATCTTCAAATCATATCGCATCTGTCAGGAGCTGAAGCTGTTAGAAAATGGTTAAACTTTGTTACAATCTTCCTGTTGTGAAGTATTTATGTAATCACCATAAAGAGAGGGTTTGTGTTTTTATTTTCTTGATTGAGCTGCTCATGTAAGCAGAGATCTAAGTATTTTGTAATGTTAGGTACCTTATATTTGGGTGGAAATCTACCTTAGTGTCACCAGGTTCATCTTGCTCCTGGGAGGAATGAGATGAAAGGGAACAGGATTGCCTTAACCTTTTGTGCATAGGGGTGGTCTTAAGATACAGGTCAAACTTAAAAATTCAATACAGGCTTTTTCCTGTTTTTATTCTTAATAGTAAAAGGTTAGAACACTTTTGATAAAACACTTTTGATCATTGCATTCACTGTGTGATACTCTGTTCATGGAAACAGCTGAGTCTCTTATCCCAGAATTTAAGTATTGAGATTAGTAGAAGAGAGGGGTAGGATAGGTTAAGGTTTAAAATAAAGGTAACTAGGAACAATAGTAACCATTCCCAGAATGGAAAGTTAATGAACTGTCTGATACAGGTAACAAAAAATAGAATCTGTTGAGGAACAGGAAGGAAGAAAGAATATGGAGGGTAAAGGTTAATGAGGATTTTTAGGGGTGAATTTGTATAATCCACAACTACCAATTTTTTTTTTTTTTTTTTTGTGGTGAGGAGAAGAAACCATGATTACCTTAATACATAAAAGTACCTGTTAAGAGGAAAAAGCAGTAATTGATTACATTGACAAAACGAAGGGTTGCATTCCAGTCTGGAAACAAGACAAGTTGGCAATCCATGGATAAAAAATCCTTCAGGGATGTTGAGTGTGCTATCAGAAAAGAAGGATCATTGTTTTTTCTATAGCAGATACAGGTGGCTTCTAAGGAAGGCCTTCATGGAGATGTTGCCTGCTGAAAGCACTTCCAAACTGTGTGGTGAACTACTTCTCCAAATGCTTAACTTTAAGCTATATAAAATAGCTTGACCTGGAATTGCTGCTCTTTTTTTTTCCTTAAACCTTTATCCAACTGTTTAAGAAAGTTGTGAGTTAATGTTTCTGTGCAATGACTCCGTGTATCTGGAGAAATCAAAGTTTTACCAAAAACAAAAAAGCAAGCAACTAAATGGGCACCAGTGGAATATAGCATAAGTGTTTTTCTCGTTTTATCTTTAATTGCTAAATATGAAGGAGCATTTACACAAAAGGTCACTGGATTTCTGGATTGTTTTTTGAAAGCCTTTTCTCATTGGAGTGTCTATCCTTTAAATACCATGAAAGATTCTCCCTTGATTCTTTATCTTCTGCCTTCCACTGCTAGAAAATGATCCACAGTATTTAATAGTGGAAATAATTTCCTGTGTGAACAATCAGCTACCTCCTATGGCAAGCAGATTTTCATGTATTTTTAGTCAGTGTTCTGACACTGAGGGCTTTCTTGAAATGTGATGGTGTTGCTTCATGCAGTGTTTCCTGCTCTGAAACAGTCTTTGAGCAGAAAAGGTTTAGAGTCCATCAAACCTTTAGTGCAGTGTTGGCATGCAGTTAAAATACTACAAAGCTGTTGATAGAGGAACTGTGGTTGTAATGCTTACAAACTGCAGTCTAGATAGCTCAGGTTGAACAGGTGGAACAGTGGTTGAAGAGCTTTTAAAGCAGAACCACATGTTGCACTCAGAAGAGAAGTTGTCCCCCTGCTGTGATGCCTTTCTGGAGGGAGGCACTTCTCGAATGACAGTGTGGGCACGTGGAAACTTCACCCAAAGGAAAGAGATACAAGTTGGAGATTCTGCAGAAGCAATCTTTGACAGCCCAGTTAGTTACCTGCTATTTATCATGCCTCTTGCTTCTGGTCCTTTTGGATAGCAGATAGCAGAGCTAGCCAAATCCTGTACTGGTAAGGCTTGTGTGTAGCTGGCAGTGTGACTGGGTGTGATTCCTTATTTCTACCAGTTTACATCTCATCAAGGTCCTGGCAAGCTGATGTTTCCAGATTCTAAATGGAAGAGGGAGGAGCAGCCCTGTGGATAAGAAAACATGTTGGAAATTGGGATTTAGCCTCTGTTCTCCACCCTTTCTTTGAATTTCTTATGGTAAGTTGCTTTACTTTCTTCATTGGTACAGTTAAAAGTTGTTGGATGACTCAAGGTACCAGCTTTCTGAAAATGTTTACTCAAAGTACACTTTCAGAGAGGGGAAGCTGTTTGCTGGTGATAAAACTTTAAGTGCCTCAAAATTCATATAAGGAATCTGTTGAAAGTGAGAGCTGTTCTAAACAGCTGTAACGTTTAAGCTCCGTTCAGAGGTCTTGCATTCATCTTGTGGATATGATTGAGAATAATTTTGCCCTCATCACCTTTAGAAGAATTAGTGCTACCTGGAGTAAAATGAGTGCTCAGCTGGAGGAGGAGGAGCTGCTTGCTCATTGTGGTAAGTCGCACCCAAGCTTTTCCACTCTTTGAATGGTGCAGTAAAGGTTGTTTGCTCAGTTTATTCTTCTGTTTTAACGTAACAAAAATACTTTTCTTAAGGAATCTTTTCCTACCCTTATGTAGCCTAGTCTGTAATTTGAATTAAAAGAAAAACCATTTTAAAGCTGTCAAGTGCAATTGCCATGACATCTGCTTTTAAGAAATGCAGAAACATTCATGACAAGAGATGGATTCAGTATGAATCCAGAAAATCCAGAAGCTCAATTCTGTGGCCTTTTCATGGTGCTCCAGTGTCACCTAACTCTACTTTAGAGAGGTAGGTGGCAGGAAAGTGCTCCAAAAACTTCTTATCCCCATAGTTCGGTTTACAACTGAAAGCGAGAGCTGCCCTCATACTTGGCTATCAGTAATAGGGTCTCAGGGTGAGAGATTTTGGGTTGGTGATTGTTGTTGAAGTCAGCACTTTGCATTAGCACTGGCTGGGGGAGTTGTGATTGGCATCCAAGTTTGTCTTGGAGCTTGAGTAGGTTGCAAAACCGCAATCTTCAAATGAATGCTACTCATAGTATTAATTATAGAGGTGTACTTCTTCACTGTCGGAAAGAGTCCAGCGGAGGGCCACGAAGATGGTGAAGGGCCTGGAGCATCTCCCCTATGAGGAAAGGCTGAGTGAACTGGGTCTGTTCAGCCTTGAGAAAAGGAGACTGAAAGGGGACCTGATCCAGGTCTATAAATATCTAAGGTGTGGGGGGCAGAATGGCGAGGCCGGACTCTTTTCAGTAGTGAGTGGAGACGGGACAAGGGGAAATGGCCAGAAACTGCAGCATAGGAAGTTCTGCACAAACATGCGCAAGAACTTCTTTACAGTGAGGTGACGGAGCACTGGAACAGGCTGCCCAGGGAGGTGGTGGAGTCTCCTTCTCTGGAGATGTTCAAGACCTGCCTGGATGCCTACCTGTGCGACCTGCTGTAGGGAACCTGCTTTGGCAGGGGGTTGGACTCGATGATCTCTGGAGGTCCCTTCCAACCCCTACAATTCTGTGATCTAGGCTGAGGCTTCCTGCTGGCTGCATAGCCACACAGTGGGGAGGAAGACTGATCCCCAACCCAGTGCTGTGCAATATGGTGCTTGTCCATTGCACTGAACGCTTTTAAAAGGCTCACTATAGCTTAACCTTCTGGTACAGGGTAGCTAAGCTTTTCTGCTGCTAATGTTAAGCCATTTAGCTTCAGCATGTTTAATTTCCACCCCTGCTCCCTAGAGGAGCTGGAGAACCCTTCTAGGTCAGTGAGGTTGTCTCTGGAATGCCCACAAGCAGCATTTTAACCAGGGACAGTTTCTCTGACCAAAGACACTGCTGTGCCATTGCCCCTGGTTGCTTAATGTGTCCTTGGCTGTCCAGAGGTAGCAGAGCTGTGTGCTTCAGACAGAAAACACCAGACCTCAGCAAGACATCTGTATGTGTGTTTTTTTGAGACCCAACACTGTTCCTTTACTTGGTTTCACAATAACGTTCAAAGTAGGGAGAAGTTTGATTCTGAATGAGATGTCAGCCAGACTGGGAGACATAAGGTACTTCTGTGTGAATCCAGACCGTTCAGCTCTGATGTTCTCATCCTGCCATGTGTCTGTGGTAGAAAGATGGGTTCAGCATATATTAAAAAACAGTTCCATGCAGAAGTACAATGTCTTGCTAATTTCACCAGTTTCAGCTGTGAAGGGGTGACAGGTTCTTTTGTGAGAGTGAAAAGGAGTCAGTTCCTGCAGCAAAGCTGTTAGCTCTTCATAGCAGGAAAACAGAAGTACAAACCCATTACCTAAAGCAGTGAACGTTAGTAGCAAGTGACTTCCTCCAAGATGAAGCAGCTGGTGGTCAGCCTGCAGTTCTGGCACAGATGGAGCTTTAGTGCTGACCTGCCACAGCATGAGGATGTGTGTTACTTGCAGCTGCCCACCAGTAATAGTAAAGAAGCCTAATTTTGTATAGCAGAT